CGCATAGGTACAGTTAATTTGACGCCTTATAGATCCGCATGGTCCTGACCGGGCTGGTGCCAGTGAGGTATTACTCATCTGTAGGTATGTTTTCAAACTTTCGTATTCCACAGTCCCACAGTCTTATCAAACTCGAAGATTAAATATGTCCCGGCAAACATTTATGCCCAGTGAGTGTGGACGTGGGGCAGAAAATGGAGCAAAAAGCGAAGCTCTCCATTCAAACTATTTATAAAACCGGCTTCTCCACAGACGGAACGACACTGACTTTTTAACCAGCTGGCTTACCTGCTTGAGAGAACTGAGAATGATTTACACTATTGAACACTGCTGATTTTGACCTATATCGGAGCATCTATCAGAACCATCTATCAATCTAGTTCGTATTCATATGCATGGCGCATACTACAAGTATTGGAGAACACCAATGCAAGAAAATTGACATCCATCAGAAAACTAATAATAATCTGTTAATTGCGAAGGCTGAGTTGGTGTGGCTCGCAGCGGCGCACTACCACACCCATGGATCGATACTCGCCCAGCTGTGATGTCCTGCGGTGTGCATGTCATTAGGTTGATACCTCCTCGCTCCTTTATAGATTGTAGTAACAGTCTGCTATGGCATGAGAAAAGCTCTTTTGCCAAAACTACTGCAAAGGGCCCGGGTCCAGAAACGTCAGTAAACACCTTTATGCTCAGGAGGTTCCGACTGACAATTTGCCAGCAATCGATACTTCTTTTTTTCAGTAACATTATCTCTTTTCTCTTAACTTTTGAGAACTGCTCTTCTTGGTATCTCCCATCACCTCCTAGAAATACGAGTCTGGAAAACACCAATGTGGGAGAGGGGAAAAGGCGAGAAAGGTCCCATTTGAATCTTTCGACACTTGTTGGCCATCAGATTTCTTGACCTGCTAGGAAAGGAACATTCGGGATCATCACGCGCGGTGACTTAGAGGCGGCACCTCCTGTCCCACACCATCCTGCCAACCGGTATATCTTTGGAAACAGTTCTCGTGAAGGGAGCAGGTGTTGATCATGTGCTTGTCAAACGGAACAATTACGAAAAAGTCTGGTAGCGTTTATGCTTATTAATTACATTATATTCTGGTGCATGTCTCTTTAAATATCGTTGTGGGAATCATTGAGGTTTTTCACTCTGGTTGTTGTTGACTTGTGAAGTAGGTAGAGAGGAGCAGGTGGATACACTGGAGAAGTCTTCAACCGAATCCATTGAGAACGACGTAGCTGTCTTCACGTCGTCTAGATCCAATATCTCCTGAAATAGTAGAAAAAATAGTCCGGGAGGTATCTCCTGATTGTAAAGCGCTGCACGATAGTGGTGAACTTACCCCAGGGGGGTACGGTGCAAGGTTTAGTGCCCTTCTGAGTTTGTTCACGTTTTCAACGAGCTCATCTCTTTGCTTCACCAGAGCTTCATACCTCTTTTGCACAGCTGGCAATACCTCTTGCAACTGAAATGACAATCGCCCTGTCCAGTAGAATTCATGGCTTAAAGAAAGTCTTGGCTCGTTCCGGCACTTGATGACTAAAAGGAACGTACTCTTCTACTTTCTGTCTCCAGTGATTGCTTCCATACGTTCAGTGCTATTGTGATTTCCTTTTTGCTTTCGTCAGTTGCTTGGTAGGTCTATAACAATAGAGACAGTCTTTGAAGACGGCTTTCATCCCCTCCCCACTATCTTCCCTCAACCCCTCCTTTACTCTCCGCCTTCGCCCCCTCGATTAGTCCTGGAAAATATTCTCAGCAGAAAAAAAAAACAGTGGTCGAACCTTCTCTTCTCGCAGTTGCAATTCCATAGCGAGTTCATCGCTGCTGTCTCTAACCGTTGTATCTCCGGCCTAAACGAGCAGGACGGTAGACTTCCTTGGGACCTTATAGGCCCTCTGCTCATCATGAACATACCTGCATCTTCATTCCATGGATGAGGAAGAGACAATGAAATATACCGCCTTCTCCAATTCATATCATCCCAATCAGACAAGGGTATCTCACAAAGTGAACAGTTCTCTACAATCATTGCGTATGCTTCGAGATTGGTCATGACATTTCGTCTGAAGAGTGACGTTCATTCATTTTGCTCACAGAGGAGCCCATAGGAACGGAAATAAATGAATCCGCATCTTAAAATGAAATACTGTCTAGCCACCAAATGACCGTACGCATAGCTATAGTGCTCTCTTACAGATTCTAGTCCGAACTCCATCACGGAAGGAGGGAAACGGCTAACAGTACGC